AGGTAAAGGGCTCAACTGCACCATTGATATCTCTCCCTCTGGGATCCAGAGGAGCCCAAAACAAAACTCACGTCTGCCCAGAGCCTGGCACAGGGTGGGCCTGGCCAGCAATGGGGCTTCCTAGGTACTGCAGTGGTAGATTTATTTAACACTGTAAGCAGCAACAGCCAGATTGTTGAKGTCTGTCCCCTTATAGAACTGCTTAAATAAGCTTTGTTCTCTCCACAGGACTGAAGCGATGGAATATAGAAACAAGTTTGAGCTCTTTCCAACTGGGAAAAGTCACAAGTATGTGTCCCATCCTTTCAGAAACACCTCTCCTACCTCTCTTGCTCTGCAGAGCATCACCCACAGCCCACATGGCCTGTTCAAAAGGTACCATCTTTAAGAGCAACAATTAGGCAGGAATATCCTTAAAAAAAGCAGATATTTTTCATGATACAGAAGTCAGGCTGAGTGCACAAGAAAGGATTTGACAATAGAACTAAACAAGGCCCTTAACTTTTGCCCTATTCCCCAGTGTCAGGCTCATCCCAAGCAGCTCGTGCAAGGTCTGTTGCACAGCAGCGATTCCCAGAGGTGGCAGCAGCCAGAGGGAGACGCGGGGAGCATCCAYCCATCCATCCTTCCCTCCCTGCCTGCCCGGCAGCCCGTGCYGCACGGAGCCGCGGCCGCTTCCACCCGCCACGTAAGCGGAACGGCTGCCGCGTTAGACCCGCACGCGCTGCCTGGAAAACGCTCCCAGCTGGCTCACGTGACTCGAGCRGGCCTCAAATTCATCAGCTGGGTAACTCACTCCTGCAGGGGAGAAATCCACAGTCAAAAAACCCTTTCCAGAGAGAGAYGGGAACAGTGGGGCAAGAGGACCATGCGCTGGGCACACAGCACAGCAAGGCTGCTCACCAGCTGCTTGCTGCAGCCTCTTGCAGTCCCCTGCCCTTTCTAGAAGGGCTTAAAAGAAAAGCGGGTCCCAATTCTTGCTTTACTCCCAGTTTACTACTCTATTTACTGCTGCAAAAGCCTATCCTAATCCCATTTGTGTATCCAGAAGTACACAGGATTATTGGAGTTTGGGTTTGAGCCACATCCCACGTTAACCCTTTCCATGCAGCACGTGAGCATTGCTTCTGGCAGGACGGCTGTTGGCAGGGGGKGTCTGTGCAGACTCCCCAGTCCTGCTGGGGAGTGCCTAGGCTATCCAAAYCCCAGTCCATACCCATGGCTGGGCAAGCCAGGAGCATCATTCATATAAAGAAAAAAACCCACAGCTTTCAATATTGCCAAAAAGTAGGGCAAAAAAGTCACCTAAAAAAAGTAAAAAGTCAYAGGTATGTGTGTGCACTAAGGCTTGTGTATGGCTAAACCTCCAAGAGCAGAAGTTGAGTTGCAGCAGTGAGGAAGTCACACTGCCCAAGACAGAAAGCAGGCAGCAGCACTTGCATGTCCAGGGGGGCTGTTTTAGGCAGCAGCAGCCTGAACCAGCCAACAGGAACAGGCTGCAGGTCTCGCCAAGCGCCTTGGGGGCRCTTCCAGCCACGGCAGGTCGGACAAGCTGCTCCACTCAAAGCAGGCCTAGGAGGATCTTGCCCTGGCCTCACACCAGGGCTCTTGGGGACCCAAGTTCAACAGCCAGGGCTCTCGATGGCCTTGGCATCTCGGTCTGCTTCCAGGTTTCCTTCTCATGAGGGAGGCTCAAGTTCCAGGTGCTCYACAGCTTCTGACCAGGATGAAACACCTAGATAAGAGGTCTTCTCTCAGGGAGTGCCTGTCTGCACTGCCCAGARTCCTGCAAAGGCCAAAGAGCATCAGCTCCCCCTGATCTGGACCTGCACTCCCCTTGCACGAGGGCATCACTACCATCCGTAACTTCACCAGGCAGGATAGGAGCAGACAGAAGAGGCTTCCTTAAGCCACCTGAAGAGCCACCACACACCCTGGGACACCCAGCACTTCCTCAGCGGGCAGATGTGGCTGGAGGGCCCCGGGTGTTGCAAGGGCACAGGCTGTTCTGCTATCGCTGCGCTCCGGCCACTCCTCATACTTTCCATCCTTCCCTTCCCGCCCAGCCTCTGTGAGCGGCATCTACCACACGAGGCTCTTTGTGCAGAATTACCTCTGAGCCGGGAACAGCGGAGAGCACAAACACATTCCTCTCCCTAATCCCATACCCCGTCCCCACACTTTGGGTTAAAAGCCAAGAAGCAAAACAAAGAAAAAAGCCCACACAGCACACAAACAACCCTCCTCCTCTTATTCCATCTTCCTCCCTCAACATATGGGCCACCCAGAAGAGGACAGCAATCCTATACATCTAACAGGCCACATCTCATCGGCAGAAAGCTGAAGCAGTGAGGAATAAACTCTATCTGCTCTTCTCTTCAACAGCCCCAGGCAGAAGTCCAAAGCATTCATTTTAAACACTGGCTTCAAAAACCTGGTGTACCAGGGAACAGTCAGATCTGTTTCCCTAGGTCAGAAAACCACAGGCTGGATTTTGTGTGTGGGACTGAACAGACTTCAAGATACAGGACAGTGTCACACATGTACCAAGAACACCAAGACCGTCTCATGCATCTGAAGCTCTCCCAGGGCACATGAACATACAGCAGCTACTCCACTTCCTAAAAATGCAGGAAGTGGGTGTTCTAGTTACATTGACTCCTAGGCTTGCAAAGCGAATCAGAAGGAAGGAAAAATTAAGTTGGGAGAATGCTTATGTCACGTGCAAGTCAACAGCAGTTACAGCTCAGTAAAGCCACTGATTTAGGAGGAATGTTTCTCCCTCTGGTGAGGAAAAGGCTCCATGCCCAAGGACAGAGCAGGAGATGCACACTAAGACCATTTGCCTGGCTCTAGAAGGAGCCAGCAGTTAAATTGCATATCCCCAGTAATTACATGATAAGTTTTGTTTACTCCCTGGTTGCTATGCTTCTGTGCACTCTGTATCCTTATTAGGGCTCTTTATTTCCTGGTTAAGGAGAAGAGGAGAAAAGAAGAAAAAAGACACTGTGAGAACCAAAGTGTTCTGCCAGAATCTGCTGCACATTTTTAAAAATTCCATGTGGTAATTAGTCAGTACAGCCAAGAGGGTTAATCGTATGATGGGAGAAGATATCCTGACAAAGGGCCATCCTGTCAGCACATATCTGAGAAGTTAACCAAGTTCTAGTTAGCAAACACCTTGGCCCAGGCATCCTCATGGCCAGCCCAGCAGCATTAGTGCCCTGGTCCCCATCACTGCTTCCACACGAGCTAAGTGCAGAGAGCAGCACAAGGAACACAGCCCACACATGTGATTCATCAGGACACAAACAAGAGCACGTGCCTCGGTCTGCAGGGATCCTGTCACACYGCAGATTTCTTACAAGGATTGAGACACTGAGCCCAAGCTACATGGTTTAAGATGTTCCTGGGACCCTGCCATGGACTTGGGAAAGTTTAGATTCCTATTCACTATCTTGGAGGACAAAAATAATCCCCAAGGCAAAGCTCCCCTCTTAGATGGTCTGTGTAGAGACAGAAACCATGCAAGTGTGACACAAACTCACATTTGGGTTGAAAACTGCATTGTGGCTTCCCCACTCCTACCACCTTGGATTGGATTCATTAGGCAACAACCTCTTGCCTGCTTCCCCGTTCACACGGCCAACACAGGTACCCAAGGCATCTGCTGCAGTTATTACCCCAAGGGCAGAAGATAACATGCTCCTCCRTGCTAGGACTCACCGTCCTAGCAATTAGTAACATATTTCCCAGGTTGGCCAAATTAAGAACTCATTGGGAAAGGTTGGGCTACCTTAGGCAGAGAGGGAAAAAGTCAGTTCACTACCAAATCTGGCTCAAGTTGACATGCTCAGACCATGCTGACAGTGTCCAGAGCTCTGTTGACACTAGAAGAGCACCTACCACTYGGGGTGAAGCCCTATCCATACTGCAACAGCCTCAAGCCAAAGGAAGGGCAGTCCAGGGTCTCTCCCACAGAGATCCCCCCTCTCCTTCCACACAGGCATCTCCCACATAAGATAACAAAATACCTGCTGGAGTTGAAGGATCCAAGCCCCGTCCTCTCCATGCCCACACATTGCTCATTGACAGGCACTTCGCTATGAGCTAGCAGAGGGCTCTGAGTTCACAGAACCACAGCAAAGCTTCATYCCAGAGCCAACAGCTTGGCTCTGAAGCAGGTAGAGATATCTCCAAGCATGCAGCCACGCTGCTCCAGCTCGCAGTTCACACGCAGGTGACCCCGCTGAATGATTAAGCACAGGAGGGCAAGCACACGCCATTCATTTTCTGTGCATCACCTCAAAGGAGGCAGGTCAAACTGAAGTTAAGAAAATACAGCAAAAAAGAAAAAAAAAGGCAAGTCCATGGAGCTCCAAGCACAGGCCAAACACATAGTGCAACAGGAACAAAAAGGCTTAAGCTCTCAAGGGATGGGCATGGCTGTACTGTACAGTCAAAAAAGTCACAACTTAAGCCACTTCCATTAGAACTACAAAAGAAACCCTATCACTGGTAACTCAAAGAAACAGCAATTACGGCACCTCCTTAAAGCTGACAGGACACATGCCCTCAGCTTGCAAGGGAGAGGGTTTCTTTAATAATCATTAACTAGATAAGCAGAAACCAGCTCTTCTTGCCAGCAGCTCCACCCATAGACCCAAAGCAGCAATTCCACAGACCCAGCCATGAGAGCAGTTGGGGTTATTACAGTGATCTACTTGTCTTCCACTCGGAGGTCCCACTTCTGCAGTTGTTCCCACTCTCAACTCTATTTAGCTTCCCTTCTGATGGAAAAGGGAAAGCTACAGAGATGTCTATGAAAGAGACAAAGTTAAGAAAGGTTTCAAAAAGATCTTCTGCAAAGGCTTTATTGACCCCCYGGCTGAGGCTGCTTCCCTAGTTTTAGGCTACAGCAGGGGAAGGAAAGGGTCGTTGTCTGTTCTACAATATTCTGCTAGTTCAAAAACTGGATGAGGAACCAGGTTTAAGGACACTTCRCTAAGGAAGCCAAGCCTCGTGAACATCCTCACTGGGGCAACGCTGCGTTTGGAGCACACTGCCAAGCTAATACTCTAAGTGCTCAATTACACAGACTATTTAAATAGACTTTGGTTGATGGATTCATCCAAAGTAAGGCCAGCTCAACACAGACAGCATCTGCCCAATTAGAAAACCAAGACACTGCAGTACTGATGTAACCATAAAATTTTTCATTCAGTTCTTCTCATTTGAAGGGACCTCTTACCACACATAGCAAGGTGCAAGAGAAAGCTCCAAGGCAGCTGGGCCCCCAGCAGCAATCAGGGCAGTTAAAGCAGCACCAAGCAGAGGGTTTTTCCACCAGTACTTTTGCTAGCATGACCTTGAGAGAAAGAAGCAGGGGGGCTCTGCTGCTGATATGCAAGTTGGGGAGAAGTTAAGTCCTGCCAAGGCCGAACAGCACCTCTGACTTTCTGAGCCCCACCTCTTGCTAAGTGAGGAGCCTGAGGATTCACTGCATAGAAAGCTGCAGAGCCCATGGAGCTTCCTATTGCCATTAACACCCTGTCCCAGGTACCTGCTCCAGCTTCTGGCCTGAAGATCTGACAACTTCTAGTGTAAAACCAGGCAGGAGGTTCTCAAGAAGACAGGAGAGCAGCAGCATCCTGCCCCAGGCATCAAAACTGGCTTTAGACAGCAGTGAGAGACACCTCATGGAAGGCAAACACCCTCCAACCAGCACTGGAAGCCACATGGGGATTAGCTGATGTCTCAAGGATTAATTAGTTCACTATGCACAGATGGTAGCTACTAGAGTTTGGAGAGTGGATTAACCTAATCTGGGGTTTGTAAGAGACCATGCAAACATCCATTACTAGGCTTGAAGCAATTCTGCCCTTATTTTGACTTGAGGAGAAGAAAAACCACACAATGGATGCCTGCACAGAAGTAATGCCTACTTTAGGTGACAAATGAGTTGCTCCTCACTTGGTTAATGCAGTTGCCAAATTCAAGTCTGAGAAGCAATCCCTTCCCTGTTTGCTACAGAGAGAGGCCTAGAAAAGGCCATTTGTTATGGGCATACAGAACATACCCACTCCAACCACTCCTCAGAGTTGTGGAGAGGCCTCTCTGGCCCTGACAGATGGCCCTAAAGCAGCAATTCAATTGACTGCAAATATCAGGACARTTTTCCGAAGCAGCTCTGCAGCACGTCAAGCAAAGCCCCACAAATTCAAGGTAACAGCGCACGTGGCAGCCCAGGCCACAGCAAACACCCAGGGATGCTCCAGGTCTTGGGCTGACTCCAGGTTGAAGCATTTCCCATTAGCCTGCATCCCAGTTAGGGRCAGCACGTTTGCATGGCACTCAGCACCAGGGGAAGCCTGGCTCAGGGCTGGCACGCCGAGATGCCTCCCATCAGCGCAAGCCTCACTTCTGTTTAGCTAAGGAGGTACCCTGCTATTGCCTTCAGGTCAGAAGGTCCCGAGTGCTTACAGCCAATACCTGCTGCAGAGATAAACGTTTCTTTAACTCCTATTAAACTCTGAACTCATGCAATCCCGCCCCGCTTTAAGGGCTAAGCGCAGGACTAGCCAGACCCGCAGGCTCACCGGCAAGGCGGAGGTCAGGGTCGACGCTGGCTCTTTCAGCCRTTCCCCAAATGTTTCTGCARTCAGCCACGCTCCTGTCAGGCCCGCACATGCCTGAAATGYGGCAGCTGTGGGATTCCTGCTAGAYGGTGTGGGACAGCCCTGYTCTCACCSCAGAGCTGCCTCCATGACGTCTTCAGGCAGGACACAAGATGCATTTGCAGGGCTCATTTGCCACAAGGTGGTTGCTCTCAGTTGTCTCTCACTTGAGGATGCAATAGTGCTTGCCCTTGTGCAGAAAGCTGTGACTCCAGGTGGTTTGTTATCTTAGAAAGCTCTTAGAAGATACCCTGGAGAGCTGTTCTTTGCCCCATTGATTGTTCAAGTATCAAAGTTAGTCTATGAAAGTCTGCAACTAGCAGCTCCCAGTTATACTGCTTAGCTGGGTACATGCTGCCTAACAGCCATCTCTGAGCTGAAGGAAACATCCCCACAACCCTAAACCAGGGGCAAAGGAGGCAGAAAACAGAGCCCCTTTATAAAGCATGCTTTGCTCAGAGCTGCACAGGAATGGAGGAGCATCCCCAAAACCCAGCCCTCTCCACATGCTGTCTCTGAGCACAGAGCCCACGCACACCAAGGGAGAAGCTTGCCAGCCTAACTCAACCCACTCTGCAGGGAACATGGACAGATTGCTTCCCCTTATGGGTAAGGGGTGCTAGAAATGCCAAGCACACCCACATCTCTAAATCAATTTGCTTTTTAATGTCAACTCAGAAGCTYTGCAGAAAGATGAAGTTCATGGTGTAGTTTCTAGCATCAGGGCAGCACCTGGTCCCACACCTGCATCCCCACTGCCACCACCCCCCTGCACTCAGGGCACCTGCTGGAGGACTCACGAGAAGCATGAAGGAAGCCCAGTGCCAGTGCTGGTCTGCAGAGGCAGCAGCCAGTTAGTGCTCGGGAAGGCAGGCTCAAGTGACAGCTCCCCATACCATATCACTTAGCTCATTACAGGATTCAGCCTAAAAGCTTTCATTATTAGCCCACAAATCAACCCAGACAGTGCCATTCACTGAACTTTACCAAATATTACATCTTTCCATCTCTCCCAGAGGCCAAACCATTACACTGCTTCTTCACAATCTAAGATGGGAGGGGGGAAAAAAAAAAAAAAAAAGAGAGAAGAATAATCCTCCCCTCCCTTGCATACAGGCCAATGTTTTCCAGGAGTCACTATTGGCTTGACAGACCTCTCTGGATGCCCCGAACGTGATTTGGAGCGCCCAGGGCTCCAAACAAAGTCAATGAGAGTTGCAGGTGCTCAGGGGGATGGGACACTCCAGCTCATCCAGCCCAGAGCAGCCRGATCCAGAGGCTCATAATTACAGGTCCCTTCTGAAAATACATCTGTAAAAATCACTAAGAGCTGCAAGGGGAGGGGAGGAAAAAAAGCCCAACACATTTGGATCTTTCTAGCTTCAAATCAGAGTTTCACAAGACATTTAAATACAGTCTCAACAAAAAAAGCAGCAAGCTAGAGCCTTTGAGCCAGCCCAAACCTCAGACACAGGCACCAAGAACATTTTTGCATCAAGACCTTCGTAAGAGGCACAGAAATAAAGAATCAGACTGCAAGAGAAAAAGCATTCTTTCTTCAGGCTGCATTTTGACTGTATGCTCAGGTAAAGAGAAGTTTAAGGGGAAAAAATGAAGAGAAAAATGAAGAAATATTTTTAAGCAGTTACCCCCCTGGGCTGGAGAGGGGACAGTACAAATACAGTCAGAGGGGAACAGTCACTTAAACTGCAATGCTGTATAAGGTGCAAGAGGAAAAGAACAGAAATGCTGCTAGTCTCTGACAGGCTTGGACAATAAAAAAAAAAGTTAAGCAGCTGCAGTCTCATGCAACACAAAATAGGAAGGTTTAAGAGGAAAGCCCTCTCTAGTCATGCAGTACACAGAAAACTGGGCATCTTACCTGATTTCCTTTTTGAAGATCCATAATCCCTGAAAAAAAGACAACAACAAATAGACATGGTTAGAGCTGGAAGCRGTGCGGAGAGGGTGGCCACGTCCCAGATTTCCACCCATGTGCTCAGGGACTCATCCCTCCCGCTGCTCCCTGCTTTAAAGAGGAGCGCAGGGCTGCGGGGCATTGAGGGGCAGGGGCCGGGCGGGATCCCGAGCGGCTCCCGCTCATCAGCGGCAGCAGCTGCTGCGGCAGCAGCGGGGCCGCGAGCATGTGATCAGCTCGGCAGAGCAAACCATCCGCCAGCCGCCAGGCAGGGGAGAAGGGTGTCCCTTTTTCCCCTTTACATSGCGCTAGGAACCGTGTTCCCATTAACGCCCGAGGGTGCCCGGCGGAGCAGGGCGAGCGCTGGCGGCTCGCGCAGGGCTGAGCACCCCGCTCTGCCGYGCGGCTCCCTGCCCTCTGCCTGCCGAGGGCAAGTCATTTGGGCACAACCTCCGGAGCCCTCTGCGTTATCGCTGTCAAGCACTTGTTCTCTGCAAGGGAAAAATCCCCAAACTTAATCCTTCCTTCTCGGGTCCGGGATGGGCAATGCCCCCGTTGCTTTTTAGATGATTCTGTGGGTGTTGGCACCTTCGTGTGTGTGAGAGAACTGCCGCAAGCCCCCGAAGCTGCTGCAGCCCCGGCGATAAATCCCAGCGCGGAGCTGTGAGAGTGGGAGCAGCAGCACCGCGGCCACGGGTGCTTCCCTGCGGCCCTGCCTTCCTCGCGCCCCGCTGCGGAGACCGGCCCGGCACCGCTGGAGCCGCCCGGGATGGAGCCACGGAGTYGGGATGGAGCCACGGAGACAGCCGAGATGGAGCCACGGAGCTGGGACGGAGCCGGGACGGAGCCGCGCGGGCACCGGGATCGCTGCACGGCCGTGCGCCCCGGCAGCCTGAGCACCCAGGGAAGCCGCCTGCTAGAGCCGCCGCGGAGGCTCCGTGTCCTGCTGCAGCAGCCTCCCTGTCTGCAGGGCCAGGCTGCCCGCAGAGGAAGGGAACAACCAGTTATCCCAGTAATTTCCCAAGGAAATTTGGGGGATCCTCTGAAGGAATGCAGCAGAGGTTTGTCTACAAATACATGTGGCTGCTGCCAGCACCCTGCGTGCGTGCGCTGCCTTCGGATTCGCGTCCAGGAGGAATAACTGCCTGGGAGGTTTTTGCACCCTCTTCAACATTTCCAGTGTCATCCCTGTTTCAATCAAACGCCTGTTTTCCCAGCTATGTCTGCAGTTGTATTTGGTGGGAAGATACTGTTCATGAATAGGCTGCTGCTTCTGCAGAAATGGTTTCACATGCAAGCAAKGATGCCAACTACATGGTGACCAAAACAGAGGCCTGCTCCAGAGCTGGCCAGGGAGGGCCCCACAAAGCGTGGTCCCGGGCTCCAGGCCTGTTCCCACACCAGCCTGGGGCCTTAATTTGTGCTCAGCCCTCACGTGCTTGCAAACRTGGTTCTGATGGTTCGGTAGGGCTACCGGGCAAGCAAACACGAGACAAGATCTTGCTGGGTGTCCCTCGGCCCAGCAGGTCAAAGCTGCTACTCCAGTTTGGAAACTGGAACGTGTGGCAAACGCCACAAAACGTGCAGATCCAGCCCTCCTCCCTGCAGCCTCTCCTGTGCTTTCCAATCCCACCTCTGGCTGCTCGTCAGGGCTGCGTGACTGACTGGTACAGTTTTAAATGAGGCCAGTTCTCCAATTCCGAAGGATGACTCATTCACGCAATTTTTAAAAAAGCCAAGTTTTTAAAAAGAGCAAAAATTAGAAACTCTTTCCCTCTCTTTACATGCAAACCATGGGCTGACAATGGATATTACTGCATAAAGACATTTTTCCCCATTTACTTCATTTCTGCTCGGCTCCTCAGCACAAGCACATGGTGTATGGAGCATTGGGGCCATCACACTGTCTCCGTGGYGCTGAGAGGGGATCCAATTAACATCTATAAGTTCATGAAGGGAGAATGTAGGGAAGAAGGGGCCAAGCTCTTCTCATTGGTGGCCAGTGACAGGACAAGGGGTAATGGGTGCAAGCTGAAAGAGAGGAAGTTCCATYTCCATGTGAGGAAGAACTTCATGACTGTGAGGGTGGCAGAGCCCTGGCACAGGCTGCCCAGGGAGGCTGTGGAGTTTCCTTCTCTGGGGATCTTCCAAACCCACCTGGATGCCGCCCTGTGCCCCGTGCTCTGGGTGTCCCTGCTGGAGCAGGGGGTTGGACTGGATGATCCCTAGAGGTCCCTTCCAACCTCAGCCATTCTGTGACTCTGTGAAGCAGCCAGCAGCTTTCAGTGATGTCCCTTTGGGATCAGGTGGGACACCCTGCGCTCACGAGAGGGGCCACACTGCAGTCATGTGCACCCTGACTCCAGCCAGGCTGTTTCAGGGCTCCTCGGTGCCAAACGTCCCTGGCTGCTCCCCAGGCTCTGCCCTGCTCCCCTCCTGTTCCTCTCCAGCATTCCCATCCCACAGCTCCCCTGCTGCACCCAGGAGCTCCACCCAGCTCACGCTGCCACATCCTCTTAAATGTCCTGCTCAAAACTCACATGAAGCCCAAAATGAAGATGGGAACCTCCCTCAGACAACTACTTTACAAACCCATATGAAGTAGCAGCTCTTGCCCCTGCAAAACTATAATCTGAAGACTTAAAGCAAAGAGAAGATGGGAGGGAGGCAGGTTACAGATGTTTCACTGAAGGGAAGCGGTGGCAGCTTCTACAACTTCTTCGTTCCCAGTCTTAATCATAAACTCACCCTTCCAGAATAAATTAAATGATTATTGCAAAATATTTATCTGAATCGTCCCCTCTCCTAACTCACATTGCTCACACATACTGAAAGCCAGGAATCCATCTATTCCTGGGCAAGTTTTCATCCTTCCTTTTGTTCTTCTGGAAGTTTTACCAAGTTCTGACTGGGGCTTTCCGGAAGCCCCTGTASCCCGTGTCACCCTGTCCTGCAGGCTTTCTGCACACCCACAACACACTCATAAAATCACACAGCCACAGAAAATAAAGCAGAGCTTGAAGCAAACCCAGTGAAACTTGGAAAGCCAAAACTAAAGCTAAAATTGGGGGGAAAAAAAAAAGAAAGCAGAGCTGAAACAGAAAGCACGGGAGGTGCAGCAAGCAAGACATCTCTGCGGCTGGGTGAACGCTCTCTGAATGTGCTCGCTGCTCCTGCCAGCAAGGAGGCCTGTCCAGCTGCTTCCCAAAGCAGCAGCAAGGAGCCGTGCCTGCCTCCAAGTTTATTTTAAAATCCTGCTCAGGCTGTGATTCACTGGTGTCATTCCCTCCCTCAAGAGACAGCCTAGAAGGTGAGTACCTCTCAGCCTCGCTGTTTTCAGAGGAACATTATAGCGCGAGCCCAAGGAGCAGGTTATGTCCAAGACAATAAAGGAAAGTCTTTAAGGSTTTCTCTTGAACTGTAGCACCCTGCAGGCAGCAACTCTGATCTTCTCCTGCAATATGGATCATACCTACCAGCTGCTCGCTCTTAAACCAGACAATAATTGGCCTCGCAGAAGAAAAACCCTTCCATGGGAAGGTTTGCTCTTGATCCTTTTATCTTTATACACACATATATTTCCCTTTTGATATTTTTTCGCTTCTGTTTGAGCACAGTACTGCCATCCTCCTATCGCTTTCAATTATACCTATGGAGAGGCAGCGAAAGCAGCGGGCAGAAAGAAGAATAGCCCCGGCAGATCCTTTCTTCATTAGCCAGAATCACTCTGAGCTTGTGCAAATCCCTTTCACCGAAAGAGCCAGCTTGCAGCATCACTGGAATATAATAACTTTGTCCAAGGTCTCTCTGTGGGGCAGCASCTTTCATTGACACTGAAGCTCGTTACTGGCCTGAAAGGAATTCCCTTGATTGCATCAAGCTCACAGCCAGTATTTTTGTGAAATACATTAATCACTGAATTTATATGTAATCTGATTGCAATCTGATATAATCTATAAGGTTATATTCACAATGTTACTGAAATGTTTTATGGCACATTCTTCCTTAGGGACTGGCTTTGATGCTACACTCAATGAAACCATTGAAGTGTGTGTGTGTCAGTATTTTAATCCATCTCCACATACACAGCTATATACAAAGGAGCAGTGGCACAAACGGAAAGCTGCTCAACAACTAAGGAGCATCCTGACATTTCTTCAAGAAAAGCCTAACTAAYGTTCCAAGCCAGACACACAACTGCAAGTGAGCAGATGTTTCTGTAGTGGCCTGTGTCTATCTTTTGAGCCCTAAGTCCCATGCAGTTTGATTTGCACTTGGCCTGGCAGGTTTTTCCTGCATCCCTTATGGAAACCCGGCAGCTAAACGGACACCTTGCATGGGAAGCAGGGAAGGACGCGGAGCAACGAAGGAGGGGGCTGCCAAGGGGAGGGCTCAGGGAGCAGACGTCCCAGCTCGCGCAGCACCGGCGCCGCACACACCTCAGCAGGCAACGCAGAAGCCAAAGGAAAAGAAATCATCGCTYTGTCCRGTTCCCAGTGTCTGGCATCCAAAGGAGAAGAGACAGGGAAAGACCCAGAGTAATGGAAGTTAATCTGCACCCTCTAGAGCATTTTAATGCATAAATTAGAAGTGTTCCTTATTTGTTGGCTTTTGCTAATTCTTGTTGAAATACATTGTAGGTATTTATGTTCCCATGCTCCTTAATTCCTAAGAGTCTTTAGGGCTGTGGGGAGCCTGCGGTGGAACTGTCTGACATTGCAAACAAACAGTTCAGATGATCATCTAATCACCCACGACTCGCCAGACAGATAAAAACGCAGCAATGTTTTAACAACGAGGTCCTCTGCACCCTTTCCAGCATTCATACGGTTTGCAGGCAGGACCAATGAAGACTTTCTCCAAAACTATTTTTCTTAACACTAGTATGGGATTCTGAGACAGTGTCTTAAAAGTAAAATAATGTGAAAATACATGGCTGCTGCCCTTTTCCTTAGCCAATGTACTTGCAACTTGAAATTTTCCTGATTTTACGCAACAGCCGGACTGCCCTTTCCTATGTGGCTTTTGAAACGGAAAGGACAAAACCAGGAGCAACCAAGAACACCCTCTAGGTGCCTGCCTTTCACAAGGGCAGGACAAGCACCCTCACATGTCAATGCTATATAAACACGCAGGAGCTGCAGTGTCACGGAGCACAAAGCAGAAATTCATATCCACAGTGTTGCAAGTGCGTGAGCTGAGTCATTTGCACTACGGGATCTCCGGTCCCTCCAAGCAGTGGGATGCGGAGGAGCCCCGGGTAGGCTCCGTTATCCCTCTCCGTACGGCTCAGGACCAGGCTCCAACACCCCAACATGCACTCCACAACACGCCACCCTCCGAAGCCATAGAAGCACAGCTGATCTCTTCCCCCAGCCAAACAAACACATGAAGGCTTTTCTTTTTCCTT